CGCTACCTGTATGCTGCTAGGACAATGCATCATCCTCCTCCTTCCCGTGCATCTACCGAGGTAGATGGTAATTTCGTTGAAAGTGAAGAGAGGGAGAGGGAGAGAGATAGAAAGAGAGAGAGAGAGGGACAGAGAGACTAGAAGTGCATGTATGAGCTGGAGTAGGCGGTTCATCGACGTAGTTTGCGAGCGACCATCAATTTCTCGGGACATCCGAGAACGAGCGATCGGCTAATCGACCTTGATCTTTCTACGTGCAACCCCCGTAGATCTCCTCGCTCCACTTCGACCGTGACACGTTACGCGACGTACGACATCGCGCATCGATTATGCAACGTATATGTTACGGGAAATTCCGATGTTCCAGATATGTCTGCTTTTGTCTATATATGCGAACATATTGATGATATTTTAAAGGTCGAGAACATTGTCTAAGGTTCGGTTTGTAAGCTGAATTTCTTTTAACGATAAAATATTGACAATTTCTTCATTATTTTTCATAAAATTTTTCTCCCGCTCTTTTTCTTGAATTAATTCATGTAGATTATTTTTATAAAATTTTGGTAAAACGGTCGGTTACCGAAAAAAATATCAAGGATTAAATTTAATGTCAAAAATAAAAATAACTACAAACCGAGTAAAAATTCGTGTCCAATTTCGTCAACAATATATACGTTCAATTCAGTATTTAATATTTTCATATAGAGTGGTATCCCTTGTGTTTTATTTTCAAAAAGATTATTGCACCCACGCAACAAATTCTACCTCTCCCTCCGGTCTTTCGTGCATCATACATGCGTTTAACGAGCCGTATCGATTCTTAACGGAAAGGAAGTTTTATGCATTGACCCTGATTTATAAATAATATTTCTCTCTTCCCTGATTTATAAATAATATTCCTCTCTTCCGTGACGAATTCAGAAATGAAAATTCTCTCCAAGATGCAACATGATTGCTCCATTACTGTGTCGAGCTGGACAAAGCGCGGCGTGTTCGCTCTAACGATTCTATTCTCTCCTATTCAACGTTCTTTCGAGCGTACGAACTGCATACGAAGGTAATCTATCTGCGGAATAGCTTTCGATTCGATTTCAAATGGCGCGAATTAACGGCAGATCTCCCCGGCTATGCGTATCATCGCGTCAAGAGAGAGAGACAGAGAGAAACGAGAAGTCCTCGAACGTTCATCGATTTCCCCGAGGCGTGGAAAAACGCTCGGATATAACGAGAGAAGTATGCGGCGTCTCGTTCGGGACCGTGTCGTTTCTTACCGACGTATCCTTTTCAAAGAGATACGTTTCTTCCTCCCCTTTTCCCTCCCTTGACCCAATCGTTCTGACGATTCGATCGCGATGGTCCGACCACGCATCGTTTGTCACACGGCCAATCGCATTACGGCGTTCGCTCCGCGAGTGGTATAGTACATAAGTGGGCAACAACGGCCAAGTGGAATCGACGATAAGTGTGCTCCGAAAAACCCCGATGGCGAAACTTCGTATTTTACCAGCTATTACTTCTGTTATATAAAATTGAAACTCGCTAAGGATAGTTAACGATGTACTTGTCTCGCTCTACGATATACTTTCCAATTTTCCGATCGCGATGTTTTAGCAATATCGTTCGATCGTAAAGCACGATGAAATTTCAATAATATAAAATTTCATGCGGAATTCCACGCGCGGGATATTTTACGCGATCTATATTGCATTTCGCGCCAAGAAAATTTCCAATAATAAAAAGTTTGCGTTTTCTGGTAATGTTACGCGAATCACGACGCGTTGGAATTTCTTGCATTTCGCGCGAATAAGATATCAAAATCATAAATAAAAATCTTCGTTTCCGAGAAAATTTTATTTCCCCGAAGCTCCTCGCCTCCTCCCCCACCAAGTTCGATGATTTCGCCCGCTTCGCGCGGCGCGCATGGATATTCGCGATAGTGGAAGCGGCAACTCTACCCGTACAACTTCCACGTAGACAGAGTCGACCGGGACCAGAAAGGGGGAGAGGGACTGACGAGTGCGAGGGACGCGATAGATACGGCCGCCCTCGCCCTCGCCCAGCTACGCTAGGGAGGGCAAAGATTTATGATGCCGGTGCGTCAGCTCGCACGTCTCAATTTCGGGACGCCGTCGCGAGAGTCAACGGTAACAGAGTTCGGCTTTCTCTCTCTCTCTCTCCCTCTCCCTCCCTTCCTTTGTTGCCTGTCGTGCCGAGGATGCGCGATAAGGAAAAGGTACGGCTACCGAGAGAACAAAAAAGAAAAAGAAAAAAAAAGAGGAAAGAGTCGACGAGATAGCGGACTACAGGGTACAGGAGCGAGGCTCGGAATTAATCCGGCCGGTGCGGCGCTTCCCTCGTATACGCGCTTCCGTTTCCGTCCCGACCGTACTTTGCCGGAAAATAGTTTCCACCTCGGACTCCGGTAGTGTCCGACAATGGAGTAATTATTGCAATTAGCGAGCTACCTACCGCTTTTTCGTGCGCGGTTGTGTGAAAGGATCGAGATGGAGGTCGATATTTTCGCGTTTTTTTGAAAATCGCTTCGGTTTCGCAAGGAGAGCGGATTGCATCATCGGCCATCATAAAAGCTATAGCATTTATTCCATATAAGCGCATCATCAAAGACTGCGTTTATTGCTCATAAATCCGCTGCGAGTTCGATAGTTTGGCGATAGTTGCAGTTTTCCGGCTTTATAGCGTAGGAATTTTCTCGCCCATTCGTTGTAAAACGAATATCGTTCGGATATCTGCGTGAAATTTCGGAATATATGTATCTTCGCGTATATTCATTATTTTCTTTTTTCGATTGTTGTTAAGTATTTCGTAAAAAATACGTATATGGCGCTTGAAGAGTGAAAAATATATTTTCATAATGATACGCAAAGCTTTTTTATCTCGATATTTATTCGCGCATTAATTCGTTGCCATCAAATATCTGGAATACGCGTAAATATCAATCGTCGAAAAATGCAGACGCTTATAATAAAATAAACAACAGGATACAAACATATGCGGAGCAAAATAAATACGGAGATATTTCCACTACACTTTTTCATCGTCACAACGCTCTCTTGTATTTAACCGACACGTATGTGGTATTATCGTGACGCGAGTACACAGCGCAATTACTGTAACAACTATCGGGCCGCCAAGACTCGATGAAAGTTGCAATGAAGCAATCGCGCATCTGTCTTAATGACAGGAAGAGTGCACAAAGCCACCAAGTCGATTTCACCAAGTCGACACGCAAACGATCTCTCCCGGCTCGTATTAGTCGATCAACGACCATCACAAGATGCATCTCTATGTCGCGATCTTCGGCTCTCACGCGGATGGAATGTTGACGGGCGAGATAAGAGCTCCGACAAGAGAAGGAGCGCCTCTCGTATTCCATTCAAAGTGCACGATGACATTTGCTCGGTACCCGCGCGATCGGAATGAGAGAGACGCTTAATCCGAAACCGTCACATCCAGAAACGAGATTCAGTCGCCGCGAACTCTTTGAAGCGCATTTTTCGTACCGCGATTCTTCGCGATTCGCAATTTTTTCTGACGCTTTTGCGTTTCGTTTTTTTTTTTTGCTAACTTTGTTTTGTCATAAATAAAAGTTGGGAGAGAGAGAAAGAGAAATGCAGGCAAACCATGGAGTTTGCGGAAAATCACTTGGAGAATAGAGTTTCCAACAAAAGATGTGCGACGGAAACTAGCGCAACGTGCTTTGTACGCAAGCGATATTAGACGCGACGTCGAATTGGCAAAATGAAATTACGAGTCTGCCATTGTAATAAAAATGTAAATGTACACATGATTATATTAGAAGGTCGAATTATTTTTCACAATTCGCTAATTGCAAAAGATTTGCAGTAAATTGACAATTAGACAATTTCGACTTGATTCGGAATGTATTGTTTTTTTTCATAACTTTAAAACTATTGTATTTCTCCCGAAAATCAACGCGAAAATTTCGTAGCAAATTAAATTTGTTTTTTGAACGAATATTAAAGTTTGACTGCACTTATTATTATATTCAAAAATCCTATCACGTTTAAATCGTCCTGAATTGATAGAAAAAGCATTTATGGCCTACGCTTTCTCTCTTCGATTTATCTTTACAATCTCTTTGCAAGGTTATTATGAGAAAGCCGTTTTACTGGAAATGAACCGGGAACTCGGGTTTTACTATCTGAGATTTTCGCAGGAAAACCCAAACTTATGGTTACACGAAAAATTTTTATCGCTTATTTCCTTTACGGGACGATTTCTAAAACACATGGATAGTGTCATAAAAAAGAATTCGTTCCAGGTTTAAATTTACTAAAACGACAAAGGCCAGATGTTGCTACAATTTTGGAATCGCTGTAAATTACCTATGTAAAGCACGACCCGTCCTTGGAGATTAGCACTTTACTGACATATCGATTCATATATTTAACTATCACCGAGCGTTTTCACATTCCGAATGAAATTATGATTCTCACAGTTTGGATTATGATATCAAAATTCAAATTATAAACATTTATTACTATTTTAGTGAAAAAAAAATTATAAAAATGATACATTTTTTAATATGAATATATATCAAAATTTTAATTATTTCACAGTATGTGTTCCAATAATTCATAATTAAGCGACGTATAATTCAGAAATTATGTTACCTTTTTTGATAATATTATGCTATATATAGTATTACGGCAAATGGAATTCGATAACTATATTTGTAATTATTTTCGTCAAAAATAATATAGATTAAGAATACTAAAATCAATAATTTCCATTGATTATATTTATTATTATGTAACTTTGTAATAATTTACAACACAACGACTGAAATTTTTTCTTCATCTACAAGCTTCCATAATTATTTTTATAAAGAAATAATCGAAATATTTTACCAAATTCATGCACGCAATCGTCAACGATACATCTCGGAGCCAGTAAAGTGTAAGCAAGGACGAGACGCGCGTTGTCGACGAATGACTTTCAAAACGAGAATCACTTACCTGCGGGACAGTTGCATCGCGCATCGGAGACCTCGCGCTTGGGCCTGAAGACCTCAGCTGGGGCGATTTGTTGCGTCTGTCGCAGCTGCTCCTGCACCTCCGACCTGAGCCTCTGCACTAAGACGTCCACCGGCGACGATGACTCCTCGACGCGCAGGCAGTGTGCCTCCAGACTCGCGATCCTGGACTCGAGACCAAGCTCGCGGTACAAGAGCACGCCGGACATGGTGAGGCTGGCCAGGCAGAGGGCACACATCGCCCAATTGAGGCCCGCGGTCCCCGCGCGTCGGGCCTCATCGCGAAACTTTCGCGGCATCGACGCCTCCAGACAGGACGACGATCCTTTGCCTGGGACCGACGACCAGGATTCGGCCGATGGGTCGGTCTTCATCGTCGTTGTCGCGCGCGCACACACGCACGCACGCACGCACACGCACTCGCGAATCTCCCTAGGTACGCGCTTGAGAAGCGTCCCTAAGCGGCGCGGCGCGTCATAACCCGCGCGGCGGCGAATTCGCGTAGATGAAGGATGTGATAATACGGTGACAATAACAATAATAATGATAATAACAACAATAAGAGATACCTGACGGCGGCGAGACCGTTACAGACGTCGCGACGTCATCGTCCATCTGGAATGCATGTTCGCGCGACCGCTCGCCCCGTTATCGCGCCCCCTCCCCCACTTGCTTCCGTTTGCCGCTCGCGCGTTTCCGCGATCCTCGCGGCCAGTCACCAGTCCGTTAAAAGTCGACGGATATAAATCGCACGGGACCTCGATGCCTTCGATTTCGACTACTCGCGACGTGCAACGACACGATCTCGGATCGAGGAGCCTGAACCTGTCCCGACTTGAAACTGACACGCGCTTCAGCGGCAACGTTCAGTACGGTACGATCGTTGCCGGTGTCGTCGCGCTCTCGCCTTTTCGTCGACTCGCGCACTTTGCACACTTCGTGAAACACGAACGCGACATACGCTCCCCTAGCTTGCCGTCGCTCTTTCCTTTCTTCGCGGTACAAGTCGAACGGAGGGAAAACGCGCCGCCGTCCACCGACGGCGCCAAACTTGTCCGGCGACGCTTCCCGAGGAAAGCTTCGACGAGGGACAAACTTCAGAGACAAGAAAAAAGAGAGAGAGACAGGAAGCGAGAGAACGAGACGCCGACGAGCGCCCCGCGATACAAACGAACAAACGAACGTGTTTTCGTATTCCCGGCCCTCGTCTCACGCGTCGTCGTTACGAGGGAGAAACGCACGGGACTACGCACGGGACTACGCACATACGTAACGCACGGAGCGACACTCGCGGTACGACTGGATGTGGTGGGGCGACGCTACGCCGCGAGGACAGAGGGTTCGTCGCTTCGGCCGCGCTCGGCGATACTCGGCAATCTTCGCGCCGCCGCGTCGCCGCGCGCCGCGCCGCGCCGCGTCGCGCCAAGCGACTATTCCACCACCGGCACGTCGGATGGTGCGCGCGTGTAGGACGCGATCGGTCGACCTAACGGCCACTTCCATTCGCACTGATTCACCTCCCCGCGTTTCATTCTCTTGGCTGCGCCGCTCGCCACCTCTATCTACCACCATCGCCATCACCCTCCGCGGATGGGATTCGGCAGCGAGAGAGACAAGGTATGGATCTCTTTTTTTCTCTTCCTTTTCTCTCTCTCTCTCTCTTTTTTCCGCGCTCGATGTCCATTATCCACTCGGATTACAAGCTCGGAGTATTCCGCTTTCGTACGCGCGTAAACGGCTTTAACATCGGGGAGATTGTTTTTCGTCCTGGCCGCTGCCGAGGCTGCGAATGCTGATATTTCATCGATGAATGTCGCGGCTGTCTTTTATTGCCCGCGTATTATTCAGGCCATATGATATTCTCGTAAAATTTTGCTCTCTCTCTCTCTCTCTCTCTCTTATATCGAGTTTTCGTGTAAATAGCGCGGGAAGGAATACGAGTTAACATTTTCACCAACAAGTTTTTATTATCGAATATAACGCGCATTTTAAAAACTTTTCCAAAGTACACGATCTCTTTGTTAGTGTTCGCTATTATTAATATTTTTATTTCTTAAAGATTGTAAGTCAATGACGACCTCGGAAATGTTTTCGTTAGAATAAAAATCGTAACAGCGAACAATAACACAGAGGTAGTGTATTTTTGAAAAGTTTCTAAAATACGCGTTTGTTCGCTAATAAGCGATTTACTATTGAATAAACAAAAACAACGGTATGTATACAGAGTTTTTTTGTATGTCTACACGTACATAGTTTCAGTTAAAAATGTTTTTTCCGGAATGCATTTTTTTTGTTCTTCCGTATATACTCGTTAAAAGCATTACCCTCTCGCGTTTTAATGAACGTTTTAAAGAATTTCAATTCAAAGGTAAAATTAAAACGTTAATGATTGCAAGTAAATTTTGCTTCCTACTGTTTGTTCAGAAAATCAACTGGAAATATTGCGTATTCGCGAACGTGGAAGAGAAAGAGAGAGGAAGAGGAAAAGAGAGAGAGAAATAAATATATATATATAAACTTTTCTAGATTAAAAATATCCCGATGTATTTATGTTTTAAAAAGACTTACTGCGTCATAACTCGAATCGAAATTTTTCTCCAATTTTTGACCTCAATTTTCAATCTAACATCTACTCTGACACTTTCAGTAATCGGATCATTCTTTTCTAAAACTATTTAACCTATAATTCTGTCGAAAGCTTCTCTTGTAAATCTCTAAACAGGAAACTACTTCCTGTCCATTTAAAGTGCACAACACAAAGTAGGATTTAATTCTTATATAATTCAATTCCTATATAAAAAACTAATTCTATAAAATCCTATATAAATTAAACTTATCGAGAGATTTTCCCGAATATTCTCTATAAATGTAAGAAAATTAAGATAAAAAATAGAAGCAAAATTTCGATTCGGAAAAATTTAATGTCTCGCAGCGTTGAAATCTTTTATAAAATTACAAGCAAAAATATAGATCGAGAAATTTTCTACTAATAGAGTTATTCAATTCGTGGACTAATATAAGAATATATTAAAATCAATATCCCATTAATATTTAGAATTGTTAAATAAAAATAGGAAATAAAGGTCTTTTCTGCACATTCTACTATTCGGAATACAAACTCGTAACCGTATCCAATAACCGTGTTGAATAATTCGGTAGAAATATTGTCAGTTTATCTTTTTCTGTCATTCGTTTTATCTCGGCATGAAACGACGTGATGAATTAGAAATGTATACAACAGCTTATAGTCTCTGTGTAGTTTCAACTTCGATCGTACAAGTTCTAAATAAGGAACAGGGTCTCGACCCGTTGGTTTACCTCGCTAGTTTTATCAAAAGAAAGAGAGAGAGAGAATCACAACATTTTTATTCTCTTTGTATATATATAGAATCTTTTAAATCTAAAATAAAATAAAGCAGACACACAAATTAACGCGATAAAATTCCTATTAAGACGGCATTCTCACTACAAGAAATTAAATTCGCCTCTATGTATCATATAATTAAATCTTAATTTAATTTCATAAGCGATAGACACGTTAACATTTTTATTCAGTGATCTTATCTTTAGTTTCATTTCTCATGCAACTCGAAACGTTTGACAAAGGACGAAATTAAACTGACTAAGAGTAATGGATATTTTGAAATTGATATTGACAATCTTTGAATGTTGGAGGGTCACAAATATTGACAGAGCAGAGTTGACATATCTTCCTCTTTCATTTTTTCAATTTATTTTATTACAACATATTTATTTTATTATAATATATTCAGTTTATAATATTATATACATATTTATCTTGTTTTAACATAAATTGGAAAATTTTTTTAATTTGCTGGCATTACTAATAACGTTTGCTTTTCATCTCGTTCAGCTCACAATTTGGAAAATTAAAATTATGTCAATTACATAATTAAATTTTAGAGATGAGTTAAAATATACAATTCGGAATATGTTGATTTCCATAGACCCAATAACGAAATATTTTTCATCTTCTCGTTCTATTTTATTGACGGTATTATTTTCCATTCGATTTTAAGCGTGTCTATTGTTGGACGATTGCTTCGTCATGCTTTGCGACAATATCCTTTCTAAATTCTCATCCCTTAATAACTATTAATTAACGGCGGTCCCATAGGAAGCGTGATGCCTTGAGCTAGGATAGTATGAAATCACGTCCACCTTTTACATTTCGGGTCTATCGTATAAGTTCCTCGGACATGAATAGATTTCATTCATTTAATTCGCAAACACGAGAGCCTCCTTGTACAAAGTCCTCGCGTATCCTTCTAACATAAGACCTCAGGCGGTCATTTAATTCAAGCGCATAAATCTATGATACAGCGAAATGTTGATGTTATTCATGCGAGGCACGAGCACGATAGTCTCACACACGCAAAGCCTCTGGCAGACGTATATTTTATACTTAAGGAGGTTTATACTTCGACTTGCGTATATTTTTATTTTACTCCGAAATAGGGTCCAGGTGTACGCCCTATCATTCTAAATTTCGCGGTAACGTTGTTCCTCCGTACGGTTTATCTCAATCTGCTCGAATCTCTGAAGCGTGCCTTCATATCTCTCTACAACACCCGATAACGGCGGTATTAACGAATACCTTGAAATCTGGGCAGCTATCCAAGATTATCCGTCGGATGTTTGTTCCGTCTGAGGTTGCGCCAGCGCTATCCGGCAATTACCAAACACTCTGTATTAGGGAACATTGATCGGCGGAATCGATCGTGTCCCTGTCGTTGTGTGCACGCGCGGCGGATACGTACAACGAGAGCGACCCCTCGGCCTACCCAATCGGCTGGCTAGGCAGAGGAAGCGATTATAGACTACATCCTGGAGCGCGCTCGTTCCGTGCACGCTCGCTAAATCGAATCGAATGCCGGCCGGACGGCGTGTGCGAGGAAATGATCGCAAGAGACGAATCGATGCGATAGGAACGAGCGATTCCGCTGTTGTACGAATATCTGCGGTAATCATTATTGATGGATGTTAGGCGTACGTCGTATGGTCGCCACTCTGTGTGTGTATGTAGGATGTCTCGTACGATTGTCCGCTTCCGCTTATTAATTCAATATATGTGCGCCTAAATTAAAAATAAAATTCCATAGCGGCGCAACATTCCAAAGAAAAAGAATATGTAACAAATATTTGTGCGAGTCGGAGAGAAACATAATTTTTCAAGAGAAATATATATATATTTTTTAGTTGAAATATTAGATAAATAACAGAGTAAAGAATATAGAAAAACAAAGTAATAGATATCGTGCGGGGAAACTATTATATTTTCAAAAAATATATGAAAATTCCAGAGAGAAGAAATATTTATTTAATTCGACAATGACTCTAAAATTTATTAAATGTTAGCCGTGCTAAATATGAAAAGAATTCTCTTTAATAAAAAATCAATCAAAAATAAAGAGTATTAATATTAAAAAATTGGAAATATTAAACAAATTCTTTTTAAATCGGCAAAAGAGATTCCAATCTACAGAGTCAGTCCTGTTAATTGATACGATCGTCGTGTGGGAACAAGTTTTCGTTAGAACGAGCATCCTTTACGATCGTAACGCAGGCCTCGAACGAAGACGAAGAGAAAGCACCGCGGAAGTTGCTGTAGCGTTTCGATGCACCGCACGCGTCGCATTCCAATCTCCTATCTCGTCGTCCCGAATTCACTCGGGGACCCTTCGAGCCGACGACTCGTTTCTTATTTTCCCAGACATCGGATGCGGCACGATCGGTACATCATTCCGCGGGAATGAAAACATTCTGCCCGATTCCGATATATTTCTTATGCCGCCGCTGTCGTTGCACTTGCTTACGTTTAATGCTACCATCTTCCTTCCTTTATCTCGCGGCGACCGACCAAAGACAGCGAGTCTTAAGTACGGACAAATTGCTTCAAGAGTTATCCTCTTACCGCTCGTAGCACTAATCTCTGGATTTCCGAAACGTCTCGTACATGGCTCTTCGACGAGAAACAGCCAGCGCGAACATGGAATTCCCCGACGCTCTCCCATTAATTCCCATCTCTTGCTTTTCCGCTCTTGCTTTCTGCTTTCTTATCTCTCGCTTTTTGCCGCTGTCACGCGGATATTTTTTGGTTCTTCCGTCTCTTCGATTCTAAAGTCCGCACTGGATTACACAACGGAGATTGGAATTGCATCGCGCTTGTACAATAGAAATGGAGAAAAAGATACGGCGAGAGATAAATATTTTCTCATTTATCGCGCCACGTGCGAGAATGCGCGCGATTCCATCGCTAAATAAATATATACACGTACATCATTACACATATCCATTTTATATATTCGTCCACTTGTATTTTCCAAAGGTTGAATAAACGTAAACCTTTTAATAAATGTACAACTGGTTCAAACGAATATGATAAAATATGGACCGTCATGGTCCATTCTCAATGTACAAAAATTAACTCGACTTAATGAACTCAAGAGCCAGGAACACCGGAGAGCGAGTGACGCGATAAAAACGGCTGAGAGCCGCTCTCGCTTTTCGTGGGGTAACCAGCATGTGCCGCGCGATTAAAAAATCATCGCGGCCGATGCCCTCTTCACGGCCCGTTGGTCATCGCGTTGGGGTGC